AGGGATTCACACTGTGCAGATGTTCCCTCTACTTAGTTCAATATTTTTTGTTAGATACTGATGTATAGGGAGTGGTAGCACTGGTTTTAAAATTGCCCTGAAACTCATTTCCTTGAAATATATATAAAGTTATATAGGTAGGAGTGCATCCAGAAGGTGCTGTGGATATGCTGGGGGAAAACCACATGGCAAAGTTTGTTCTACTGGGGAAGCAGGAGGGTTTATAGCCTTCCTACCTCAGCTCCAAGCTGGTTTCTGACCTAGGTTTCAAATGTTTCATCAGACTATTTCTCTTAGATCTGTTATCTGTTATTTGCTAGAGCAAATAGAACTCAGAGATACCACGTCACAATGGTTACGCAAAAAACCAGCATTGATTGCCTGGCTAATGATTACCCAAGATCTTTGGAGTGTGGCTAAAGTTTAAACCATGGGGGAGAGCAGGAGTCTGAGCAGGCAGTGCTGGTACCAGCTGACAGGTGTCCCTCAGGCCTTGAATCCAGCCTCCCAAACAGCTGTGGGACATGGGATGGTGGAAGACCCTGGGCTGCTAGGAGTAGCTGAGGGGCAGTGACATGGCACTGTGCAACAGGAGGGCACAAACCCTGGGCTGGCTACCAGGGGCAGAGCTGTGATAGTTCAGGACGGCCTCCATCCCAGCTGGGTGTTTTTGCAACCTTCTCTTGCCACTCACTCTAGTCAAGTTGGTTCTTTCGTTGCTTCCCTAGATTTCTTTCCCTTATAAAAAGCTCTCAGGTCCCTCTCTAAGGCAGATTTACATTATTACTATTATTATTATTATCATTTAAATATTACCAGTTACTTCTTTCTCGAAAATAAGACTAAAAGCAGAGTTTCCAACTAGAAGGAATTATGCACTTACTGCATTAGCTTTTAGATGGAGCCAAATCTCCCAGGTGCTGTCTCATCTGATCTCATACCTGTCAGTGGCACAGCTCGAATTGATTTGCCCTGTGTGCCCTGTTTTTTTATTTATCATTCTGTGTTACATTTCTGTAACCAGCAAGTTTGATTTTTGCATCAGCAGAAAAGACAGGAAGCCTCTCACACCCTTTTTGAATCAGAACCCCAGAAGAGGTACTGTCAAAATAATAGATCTGTTAACCAAAAATATCCTTGTCATCCATCCTGCCTTGGTTTAGTGGGAAAGAGGTGGGAGAGATGAAATACAGATCCATACAAATATTTGATTTTTCCTAGTCCTGGTAACTTGGAACTCCCTATACTCTGCCTTACTGGAGTAAAGTATTTTTCCCTAACACAAACAAACCAAACCACATCAGTCAGGGCTCTGTGTGAGGTTTTTCAGGCATCTCTTTAAGCAAGCAAGCAAATTACACGTAGTGACAGATGGGTAAAAAAATGTTTCAAATACCCTTTTCCAGGTGGTGCTAGTGGAATTGGTTAGTAGTTGAGCTTCCTACATTTTGGATAAATAGTTGTCACCTGGGGCAGATGAAGTCTCTACTAAAGCAGGTAAACAAGTTGAAACAGATCTCAAGGACGTGTCCTGAAACAGGAGCGCAGGGGTCGTTCTCACACCACTGTTCTTTGAATTAATGAGCATTTAAATATTTGATACCATGTGAAGCAAGTCCAAACAGAGTGACCTTACAGCACCCTTGATGTTAGTTAGGATGTTCTTATCAAAGAAAGGGAAGATAGAATGGAACTGAACAAGATCTTCTCTCACGTGAAAATTCCCCTTACAACTTGAATAGAGTCAACCATCCTTATAAACTCTGATAAATTTCCTGGCTCACTCTGCTTGTATTACTTCAAAAGATTGGTTCAAAACACTCGTGAGACACACAGGATTGTTTTTTTTAAAGATAGGGTTAAAATAAGAAAAAAAAATAGCTTTTTTATTGTGTTCTTCTTTCAAATTCAAGAAAATTCCTGCAAACGAGGGTCAAATTAAAAGAAGATACAATAACACAGTAACAGGAGCTGGAAAAGCAGCTGTAGTAAAATTTGACTTGTAAATTAATCCAGGTCAGTATAGTTGGCTGTTTAAGGATTAAGGAAGTCTTTTGAAGGAGATATTTAAACAAACATTCTGGTAAAAAAAATCATAAACTTTCAAGACACCCACTAACATGCTTATGAGAGGTATTTCAGCGTATCATTTACCAAAGATCTCACACCTTTAGTGTGATCTCCTTTCTACAAATCACACTAATAACTTGTAGTGCATTCTGGCATCCCACCGTACTGCTTTTGGCTGGGATAGAATTAATTTTATTTGTAGAACTCCTGTGGTACTGTTTTTCATTTATGACCAGAACTGTCTTGGTAACACAGGGATGTTAGTTATTGCTGAATAGCACTTGCAAAGTGTTGATGCCTTTATTGCTGCTCATATTGTCCTGTCAACAAGCAGGATGGGGGTAGGCAAGGAAGGGACTGATCCAGGGCACTGCATCCACAGTGCAAAATCCAAAAGGAAAGGCAGAGCATGATGCAGTCCCAAAGTGTCTTCACTTATTTCTCAGATATCTTATTTGGGTTTTTCACTGAGAAGGAGTATTCTGACCTATGACAAAAGAAGAAGAACACTTTTGAAGCACATGACTGGAACAAAAACTTTATTGATGTGATGTGGTCTGAGGAGCAATAAAATAATTTGAGGTAGAAAGCCTCCAAGCAGTGAGGTTCTGCTGTAAACACAATTTGAGGCTCTCTTACTGCATCAGCAGAAGTTGGAGATTAACATAAAAGGACAATGTGACACAATATGTGTCACAATATCCTGTGGAAGAAGAAGAGAAGCTGTTAACTTGTAAAATTGTTTCTGGAAGAGAATGTGTTGAACATACTCAGTCTGAGTTTACAAAATTATCTGCTGTGTATTAGGGAGAAATACTCTATGAGGAATGTTTGCTGCACTGGAAGGAATTTGTACCACAAATAAATCAGCAATTAGTACCACCAGGGTTCATTTCAGAGAAAGCCTCCTTTGGAAGGCCCTGCCTCTCAGATAACCCCTCTGTTTCTCTCCTACATCTACCTTTTCCTGCTGTGCTTTACAGCCAGATTAAAGGATCAACAGGAATTGAAATACTCCACAGTGCCACCTACTCATCCAGCAGACTGGGTGGTTTTTTGTTTGGAGAAGTTGGAGTTTGACAATGTCTATCTAAGTGCATTAAGTTTGTCTGCAGAGCATTAGAAAAGAAATCCAGGCTTTCGAATGGAAGGGAAATGGAAATCTGCCTTCAGCATATAGTTTTTTGTTTACTTTGGTAACAAAATGATTTTTTGGGAGGGATTTTTTTTATTATGTCTAGCTCTGTCTGCCACCACAGATGAGTTTCTGTATCGCAGCAACAGAGGAATGGCTGACATTTTTCCTGGTGTGAATGAAAAGAAAATAAAAGAATTGGGTTGTTATCTTTATTACCAACAGATGACCAGCTGCTTCCCAGGAGGCACAAAAGGCATAATACATTTCACAAAGCAGAATCATTAAATCTTTCCTTCATGGAATTACAGAATTGTTAGGGTTGTAAGGGATCTCTAGAGACCATCTACTCCAACCCCCCTGGGAAGGCAGTGTCACCTAGAGTAGGTTACACAGGAATGTGTCCAAGTGGGTTTTGCATATCTCCAGAGACTCCATGATTTCCCTGGGCACCTGTTCCAGTGCTCTGCCACCCTCAATGGAAAGAGCTTCCTCCTCATGTTGAGGTGAAACTTCTTGAGTGTTAGTTTATGGCCATTACTCCTTGTCCTGTGTCTGGGAACTGAAAAGGGTCTGGCACCATCTTCTTGACACCTGTCTTTAAGATATTTGTATGGATTGAAGAATAGACTGAATAGATCCAGCTCCCACACCTCTCCTCATAAGAGAGATGCTCCAGACCCCAAATCATCTTTGTGACCCTCACTGGACCCTGTCCAGAAGCTCCTTGTCTCTCTTGCAATGAGGAGCTCAGAACTGGGCACAGCATTCCAGATGCCACACTCTTCCCAATGCACCCCAGGATTCCATTGGCCCTTCCTTCTGCGCAGGAAAGCTCCCTCCCCACCTCCTCGGAACCAAAACCAAACCCACCAAAACACCAACGAGAAGTAGTATTTTTCCTGGAATTGGAGGAAGTTGCCCAGGGGTGTGAGGAGGAGGAGGCGAGCGGTGCCTGGGGCCAGCAGGTGGCAGCCGGTGACCGCGTGTCCCCTGTGAGGCTGCCCGGGATGCGGGAGGGTGACACGGGGACCGAGGGGCCGCGGAGCTGCCCTCACACCGCACTGAGACCCCTCCAGCCTCCTTGCACCTGGGAGGTTTTTGGTTCGGTTACAAAACACATCGTTAGTGGCATTAAAATGTAACCAGCTGGACTCAGCAAAGCCCGTGGGAGCAGTCCTGGACTGCAAAACAGCCTCTCTCTTTCAGTGCTTCCTTTCATGTAGGTAACAAATCCCTTCCAAATAATAATGATTTTTTTCCAGCTTTGTCATTGATCTCTTAAATAGGATGTTCTCTAGCAACATGCCAACATATTCCTGCTCTCAAAAGCGCAACCCTTTAGGACTCTCTTACAGCATTTTTCTTTCAGAGGTTTTGACACATACTCTAATGAAAAGAGAAACAATACACAACTTGATTAATAGAACTGCAGCTAACAAACAATGCCCTGAGGGGTCAGCACTCTAATCATCATGTAATGTCAGAGCAACATCTCCATCCCCATTTCCATCACTCTTTTTCTTCTCAGCTTTGCATAGTTTTAACCTGAGCTAGCTCTACCCGTGTGCTGGGCTTATACAGGTAACGAGTCAAGCTACAGGAGGAGACAAAAAATCATCCCAGCACCACAGCTCCCTGTGTGGTGGCTTCTGTATGGCTATCACTCTAAGTCAAAAGGATCAACCTATCAATGATATCTTTAGAAAGGGGCCTGTTACTGATGTTAATTTTTTTTATCAGCAAAAATTAGGAAGCAGTTGATAAAAAATATTGCACAACACAGCACAGGATGTCCACTAGGAAAAAAGAAAAATCTTGTTTTGTGCTCTGCAATAGGATATGTTTTCCACCCCTTTTCTCTGTCCATACTTTATAGTTTTTCCACAGAATTCAGTTTTTCTTTTTTCAGTGTTTCTTTCTGTTTCCACCTCACTATTCTGGAAAATTTGTAAGAGGAAACTAAACTTGACCGAGGGTCAAGGCTAGTCCCTTTTCGCCATGAAGTCACTGTTGTGTTTGCTTCATCAGGGTTCTCTTGGTAGTTTCCTTAACATCTAGGCAAGGACTCTATGAGAGGTGAAATGAAATTTCTTTTCCTTGTGAGTAGAGCTTAGCCTGGCATGAGAAGCAAGTGTCATTCTAATGGGAGTTTCTGTAAATCACATCAGTCACATATGTAATGACAAGGTGAGGGATAAATTAGTCATCCTGTCATAACTGAATAGTCTGGCAAACAGCAAGGTTGACTTAGTCCTAGTAATTTACTTTTCATGGGTACAAGCAATTTAGGTTTTGATAACTCTGGTTAAAGTTGGAGTTTAGACTGCGGATGACTAACTACAAAGACAGCAGGATGTCTGTAGGAATGAAAAGAGAATGCTCTCTATTTTTGAAGGGTGTTTTTCTTCCTTCCAGAATGACTTCGGAAGAAGGAGAAGAAGGGGCCCTACCTGATACTAGACAAAACCTTTTATTTTTTTCCCCAAAAGCAAGCTACTCATGGGGTCAGCAATCACAAGCTGTATATCACTGTTCAGAAGTACAAGCTGCTTCATCTGCCTGCTCACTTCTCTGGTTTCCATCTCCATATGGCAAGTTCTTCCAGGTCCTTATTTCTGGAGTGGTCCGTGGGCACTGCCATGATGAAGTCAATGAAATTCAGACTGAAATGCAAAAGAACTGTGTCTCAGATCCTAATTGATTCGATGAGGAAAGAAAAGAAGTAACATCCTGTCCTCATCCGGGTGATGTGCCCAAACCTCAAGGGCAGCAAACACCTGCAGTTTGCCAATTCTCTTCTTTGAGTCTGAAGGAGACCCATAATATACATGGGAAAAATCTGTTCTGGTGTACGAGCCACAAAGTGAATGTTTACCTTGTGTCTGAGCAGCTGATTCACCCCAGCTAGAGGAGTTCCATTTATGTACCCACTACTCTAGGCAGTAGCTACCCTGCTCTGGCCACTGAGCTAAAACTGATCTTAGCAAGCACAGTGTCCTGTTTGGAAACAGCACAGTTACCTCCAAAGAGAAATTACAAGCAAAGCTACAGCAGAGTAGGTTGAGAGGAGAATTACACAAGCTCTTCAGAAAAAAAGGACCGTGTGTATTCATTCCTTCTAAAATTTGAGACCAGAAAAAACCCAGTGTCTCCTTTGCAAAGAGCTCTGTAAGACAGGATGTCCAGCAAAAACAGTCTCAAGCAGGCACAGAGGCAGCACATGTTTAATGTCAGCTACAGGTTAAAACACAGAGACTGACTCAGAAAATATTATTTCAGCCTTGTTTGTTCTTGAGTTACTGCTTCCCTTGTAGACTCGAGCATAAGACATTGAAAATACCAGTCCCCTGTAAAGCAGGTATACTGAACTGCCAACAGATTTGCTTTTCTGTACATTGCTGCTTTCTGCTTCTGTGTTTAATTTGTATGACAGTCTGTGGCCACCACCTGAAACTATATCCTCTCTCCCTGTACACAGCCTTCCTTTCCGTTGTTTTTGCAGCTCTTGTTTCTCACCATCCATCCGTGCCATTTCTTCCTTTTACTTGAATTCACGCCAGGCAATTCCTCCAACCATCCCCCTTCTCTGCTCCTGTTAAATGCTTAGTTTGTGTTCTTTCCTCCTGCTCAGTTACAGAGATGGGTCCCCACAAAGCTCATCCCCTTTTTCTGTCTCCTGTTCTTTACATGGCTCTTCCTGGTGCAGCTTTTCTATTTAAAATAATAATTTTTTTTTTCCTACATAAGGAGGCCTTTGCTTCTCACACTTCTGTGAATGTATGTCCTGTGTACAACCACCTTCTCCTCTCGGCTGACAAACTACATTTCCTTCCCAGACTTCTCCTTCCTTCTCTGTCTGCATTCCCAACATTAGCCAGATATGCTATTTCCTGATTTTCCTGTGCCCTTTCACTGTGTTCCCCTCAAAACCCACCCTAAACAATTTCTGCCAGAGGTTCACCCTTAACATTTAATAATTACCTCAGCCACTCAGGCTTGTGTCCTCCTCCACTTTTTGATGCTGCTCTGCCACTTTTGCTTGGGAGAGTGGAACATATTAGCTTGGAAAAGAGAGAAAAAAATAGGGAATTTATCAGTGGAGGAAGCAAATGGGTAACCTCTGAAGAGTCTGAACTCTTTAAACCATTTTGTATACTCTTCCTGCTTTCTCTCAAAATAATTAATTCCAAAAGACTAGAGTAGGACTTTAGTTTCTGAGATTCCCTGGGAACAGAGACCCTCGGGGTATTCTTGCAGGCAGAGCCCCCCCAGGGTGCAGAGGCTAAGTGTGGAAAGGAAAGGCCAGTTTATCAGGATCCTGATCAGACCCTGAGGATAAAAATCTCTGGAGGGGTGAGGCTGAGGTAGGAGCACAGAAGCTAAAGCTCAGTTCTCAGATAAGTAACTGAAATGTATAATTACACAAGAGCACTGAATGGAGGTTTCTGTTAATCTGTGATCCGATAATCTTCTTTCATTGCCACTTAGCAACAGAATTACAGACTGAGGATGGAAAGCCAGGTTGACTTAAAATTCCTCTCTTTGCTGGGCAGAGATGAAAAAAGGTCCCTCTCTGAGCAGGCACAACAGGTTTTTCAGCTACTGGGAATTGTGCCTTTCAGCACAATTTAAGCATAGACACCTGAATGTCAAGTTGCCAGAAGAACAGCTCAGTTGGGTAAATAACATTTTTTACAAGAATTAGTAAATTTTAGTCACAGAAATGCAAGATTAAAACAGACACACATGTCCACAAACTCCATTAAAATCATACATTTCAGAAGGGGGAGTGCAGAAGAAGGGAACGTTGGGCCAAATAATTATTCTTATCTGGTGGTCAAGCAGCAATTGTCATATTTTTGGGAGATCCACAGTGTCACAGAGATGCTCCAGAGAGGTGCAGGACGGTGGTGTTCCTTAGCAATGACCCCTACCCTGAGCCACTGGCCTTCACTGTCTTATCTTTGTGAGACGTTTTGCACCCAACAGTGCCAGCACACCTGAGGCCTCTCAGGTTTGGCTATTTTCATAAACATCAGAAAAGAGGCAAATGTAGGTGGCTGCCACCATGCTCTTTATATCTCAACCTCTTCTTTCCATCTTCTTCTTACCTTTTTTTTTCCTCCCTTTTCTTACCTTTTTTCTTTTCCTGTGCTTCTTGACTACAGAGTTGAGAAGTCAGATAAGGCATCATGTTTTGCAGTGCTGCTGTGAGTCTGGGACAGAGAGAAAGCTCAAAAACATGCCAAAAGCTGCTTAACAACCAGCCTCAGCCACATCTTGGAGTGCCTGGTGAGACTGCATGGCCTGCTTGGCATTCAGCAGATTCTTCCCATGTTCCAACTCCAATGCCTTTTCCATTGCACATGAAATGATCCCCAGAGATATGACTCCTACAAAGACAGCTTCCTGCCACCTTGAGCAATTTGTTCCCTGTACTGTGGAAAGGATGGGCTCCCATCCCAGTAGTGCTGTCCAGCAGGAGAGGAGAGAGGGGAGGTATTCCATCCAAAGGGCAACAGACCCAAGGGTGCTGTTAAAATGAAAGTTTAAATTAATATTTACATTTTAAAAGGATTGAATTTGCTTTGCTGGGTTTATCTTCAGCCAAGGACATGGCTTTTTTTTTGATTTGTTTTTACAGTAATGTTTTGCTCTGAAACTGAGCAGCCAGGACCTGCTTATGCAGACCCATGCACACTGTTTAAGAGAGGTTCTTTGTGCCACAACATGGCTCTGCTCCAGATTGCTGGAATTCTTCATTCCTGACCAAAAAAACACAGTGGCAGGGGTCTGTCCAAGGGGCCTGCAGATCTCCATGGCTGCTGGTTACTCTGCCACGGGCTACAAGACTGTGTCCCCTCAGGAAGGAGTTGATCAGCATGCAAAGAGGAAGGGCACTCTGAATAGAATAGAGCACTCTGCGACCTCTTCTCTACTGTTTAGGGTGGCTGCATGCAAGGAACAGCCAGAGGAGTTCTGGCTTTCAAAAGAGCCCCGAATGTGGTTTCCCAAGGCAATTCCACCTGCACAGGTAGATGCTGCAAGAGCACTTATGGACTTGTGCAGGAAATAAATCAACCATCTACAAGCCAGCTGGATGTATGCAGCACACAGTTGTGCTTGAACTTCAGGCAGAAAGGGTATAAAGTCTCATGAGTAATGTATAACTCTGTGCTTTCCTGCACTGAGATCTCCCCAACTTCTGCATGGCAACCCTGGGTGTAAAAAAAAAGGCAAATTGCTCAACGGAAAGGAGTGTCACTAGCAATTACACACTTCTGCTATTTACAGCCTTCCTCACATAATGTCACAATGAAAGAGCAAAATTAGTATGTGTTCCTCTTCTCATGTGACTTTTTGTACTTTGTGGAGAAACTTCAATAGACTCATCAAGCTGATACTAATAAAAGATCTACAAAGTCAAATATTCCCCAGACAACAGTTGTGGGCTGGAGTAATTTGCTGGATTTTCCCACCTCAGGCTATGCTTCTTTCATCATTTTTCAAAGACTAAAGCACCTACTTGCTGAGTATCATTTTTGAAGAAAAAACTGAAATTTACTTTTTCCTTGCCACCAGGAGCCCAATAGCTAATGATGTCAAGCTCATTGGAAATCACCAGTAAAAAGCAGTAGCCAACAGAGTAGTGAGGTCTAATACTGAGGACAGAAGGAATCTTTTAAATTGCAAGAAGGAGAGTAGAATAAAGAAAGTCATTCGGAGTGCGTGAGTCATTTATCCTCTATTGAGAGAGAATGCTAGCTAGCAAGAGTGGGTAAGAATTTTGATTTGACATTTCAAAGTCTTTTGAAGCATCCAAGCAATTCTAAGGACTTGTCTATTTGGCCACACTTGAATTTGTTAAGGCAGAATGAGAACATAAAGTGTGGCAACTGTTCTGCTAGGTGTGGACAAGCTGCTGGCCTCAATGCCTTCTCTGGCCTACATGAAAGGGATTAAAATTCTTTTGAATCACGCTTAGAGGAGAAAATCAGAGAGATGAAGGGGATTAAATGAATTTATTTTACCACTACATATTTCCCTAAGCTGGTTTCCAGTGGCTCCAATATTATGGGCTGTGATGAACTTTCAGGAAGACATGGGATGCTGCACACTGCATTGTGTAGCAGTGAAGGGACCGTAGTGCTGCCCTACAAACAGGGAGGGAACTACCTGGCCTCCAGGATCAGATGTGGCTCCCAGATCAGCTCTGCATGAGGGCTGGGGTGACAAGGAGCAGGAGTGGTCTGGTCTGGGAACTACTGTTAAAAGGGAAGTACAGCAATCACAGCTCATACTTGACCTCCACACCTCATGAGACAGGGGAGTGGGAATAATTCCCCAATAGCTTCATACTCATCCAGCACTGTGGATCACTTCACTTGCAGAGCAGGGGTTTTTTAATATCATGCTTAAAATCACTATGTGGACTCCAGGCTTGTAAAGCAAGCTTCTGGGACTAAGGAACTCAAATTTCCTTCCTCTTGGACCTGAGTACAGGCAATAATAATTTTTTCTAACTCTAGCAGAGACCTAACTGGCTGCTGTAAGCCAGCTACTGTTTCACCCCCTGGACACTACAAATGGCATGGCACTTAGAGGTCTCTTGGATAAGATGGTGGTTGCTCTGCTTGAGTTTGTCTTAAAGACACAGCAGCCTTTGCTTTGCTACGATTATTGACAAATGTAGAAAAAGTTGTGAACAGCCCAGAGACAGAACAGTTTCTCAGCAGTGGTATGTGAGAGCCTATATACTATGCAGCCAAGAAAGAGAAGCTAAAAGCTCCCCAGAAAGAATATACACAAATACAGGGCAGGGATAAAATGCACCTCAACTGCAAAAAGCAGATTCTGCAATAACTGTGACTGTAGATCTAGAACAGTGGCACAAGAGTCATAGATAGAGCTAAGTTGTAGGCTCAGCTGATATTTATTTAATTTTTGTGGTACAGGAGGTATTCTGAACCTAGTTCAGTAATAGTGAGAAAAGAAATTGCTATTTTTATCTGCAGCAAGTGTTGCATTAACCTATTTACAAGCTTCCACTCTATAAACCTGAGCGTGTGTCTGTTACATTACTGAAATTCAGTCTCCCAGCTTGGCTGGCAGTAGGTAAAGGGGGATCTAACCACAGAGGCTTAATCATGGAAAAATATACACACGTTGCTTTTGTTCATCTGTTCAAGCAGCAATCTGTGTTTGCCACTATGAAAGGCATGCAGCAGTTCATGCAGAAAGCATGCTGGAGAGTTTGTGAATTTACATACACAAGTAAGATTTTCCTTTACAATATACCAAGGAATAACAGCCAGTTAATCTCCTGTTGACTCATGTACCCCACTGCATTTCAAAGTGTGTGAATCAGTTTTGACTGTACAGCTCAGAGGATGGGTAACATGCTGAGAAGCACTACCTCAAAGCTACTCCTATGTTTTTAGTATGCCTTCACCCAGTACTTCCTAGCTGGATCACAGAGTTTGCTCTCACGTCTGCTACAGACAGAACTAGCAAGAGCTTTTGGCTCAGAAAGCTAAAAAATCTATGACCAGTGGCTTGTCTAAAATAGCTATTAATACTTTTCTTTTGCTGGTTCCACATCAAAAAAGTGTTTAGCCCTTGGGTTTTTCTCCCTGAAATGTTGTAGTATACTCTGTTCTTGTCTTTAAAATTTGAAGAAGAACAAAAAGAAAAAGAAAAACCATAAAAAAGGAAAGACAGATGTTATTAATGCACTGTACATAGGGTCATGATTTGCTCTGTCCCTTCCCTTTTGAAATACCTTTCTTTTTATCCCTTACAAGATACAAGGCTGTTTCCTCTCAGATCCATTTTCATGAGGCACTCATTTGGTTTTGTCAGACCAGTGATGCTGGTAAATGTGCTTGGAAGCTGATGCCAAATTTCAGTGGAGCCCGTGGTGGATACAGGAGTTCTGTTTATGAGATAACATGATCAGTACAGCATTTCCTCAGAGCTTTTGGCAGGAAGAAGGCACCAGTCCAATTAATGAAAAGAAAGGCATAAATGTGTCACTGTCACTTGGTAATTTCCTGCTCAACAACATGCCCAGGGGATTTTTTTGCAGGGCAGATGGGGATCCTACTACAAGGTGGGACAGATGGGCAGGAGGCAGATGTGGTCTGGGTGGCCCAGGAAACATGACAGAGTGCAAAGACACTCACAGACACAGCAGCCATAGTCCACATGGAAACTGCATTCATGTGAGTCCCTGTGGTGATCTACCTGTATCTACAATGATCTCCACTAAACAGAGACTTGAGTAACTCGAAAGACATTAACTAATGGCTAATTTGGTTCAGTGCAAATTTGCAGAAGCTTTTCAAGAGCCTACTAATGTGACCCTCCACGATGGAAAAACAGGCATTTCCTCACACCTGTTTGTATTCAGGTACCAGAATGAAGTGCCCTAGACTCAGCATTTTACAATCTTAAACAGCAAAATGATGGACAAAGTACATAGCTGCAATAGCTTAGCAAATACATATAACCTAAGAAAAGATTATAATTTAACCCCAGAGAACCTCTTTTGGTCATTATTGTTAGAGGAAAGTTTTCATTGTCATGTCTGCTCTAATTAATCATTTGATATCTGCAGCCCACTAAGAAAAAATTGATCATTGATGGAAATTCACTTAAAAATATAACACACTCCCAAAAGAGTCTAGCCAAGACCCTAGGAAAATAGTGACCTCTCTTAAGGTTTCTTTTTGCTATTGAAACATTTGCATCATGCTGTAGATTTATTGTGTATGTCTTCCTGTAAGAATGGCAAAAAAGATAAATTTAAAATACAAATCACCTAATCATTTTACTGATAAATAGATTGACCTTCAAAAACATTGATCTCATGGCAAATTCCAGCATCTTTCAGACACAAGGAGTATTAAGGCTGGCCCAAGGATATCCAGTTAGCTTTGTGCATAAACTGAATTAAGGCCCTTTTTTTTTTTTTTAAATCGCTTGTCTAGACTGATAGATTAGTATGTAGACATGAATACATATTAAAGTTGAATAACAGAAGTTTGTTTTTGAGAGATCACAAGACCTATAAGGTAGTTAATGAAGTAGTAACGATCAGTGCCCAGTGACCTTGGAGTTTAAATGCTTCAGAGCCTGCTGAGATGAGCAGGTGCCGGGTGAATTCATACATTACAAATGCCCTAAAGCAAGAATCATCTATTTCTATGTTTCTTTTTCTGGACTTTGAGCTATGTCCCGGGATGCTCCTTGGACACAATCTTGGAAATGATAAAAAAACTGTGGTTTTATACCTCAAGACCAGCCCAACCCATCTGTCTTCAAAATTGTTTGCTAACAGTATCCACTTCCTCACTTTTGTAGTAACTGAATTTTATTTAAGATACAAAATAAGGGTGCTTTTCTTATTTTTCTACGTAAGATCAGTAATGTTTCCTTACTTCCAAACAAATAGGTAGTGT